TTGAAAACGCACTGCAAACGTATTGAAAACGGTCCCAAACGAGCAACTCCGACCGTTGGCCCGGGGGAGGTGCATATATTGAAGATTTGCTCGCTGCCCGCTGCAAGGTGCAACCCATCCTTTCTCCAAGGCCTCTGCCGACTCCTGCTTATCTGCTAGTGCTTGTGAGTAGCTGGCCATTCAAGCACAGCGTTGCGAGACAGACCTGAAAACTAGACATAAGAAACGAACCTGGAAACTACAAATGAACGACTCCGCAGATTGACTTTGAACATGGGGAACGGCGAATTGCGGCGGATACCTGGGAACTAACTAAAACAAGTGCAGCAGACAACTACTACACAGCTAGTTTCGAGGCGAACTCTGCAAACGTTGTGTTGTTCAAGGGGAAGATGCCTGAGTGGTTTCAACAACCACCGATGCCAACACCATGTGTTCTCGTCCCGCCATTTGTCGTCTGGTCGGCTTCTCGGCTCAACATGGCTTCAAGATTATTTCAGAGAGCTGCAAGATTGCCCCAGAGGCCCCAATGACCATCCGAAACGGTCCAAGACGGGCCCCAAGACGTCCCTAATACTGTTTAAGACAGCCCCTGGGGACTTTACGACAAGAGCCCACGGTGGCTCCAAGACAGCCCAAGACGGTGCCAAGCCAGCCCAAAAGAGCTCCGAATAAGCCCCCCCAGACTTTCCAATTCATGGCTGCTGTCTTGAGTGACAACTGTCTTGTCTGCTGTCTTTTGTTTATACCTCTTGCCTCTCCGGTTCTGTCTCCCTTCTGCTTTCTAACAAGGGGGTCCGCTGCGCCCGACAAAGCCCACCTGGGGGGGCGGGTCCCTCAGATTCCTGGCCGATCTAGGTTCTCCCAATATTCCTATAGGGACGCCACCGCGCGGCCAGGAGGGCCCAACAGGCCTCGAGGACGGCCGCAGGAGCCTCCGAAAAAGGCCTCAGGAGCCCAAGACTGCAGAATCTGGATGGTCCCAAGGCGCCCCAAGATACGAGGACCCCAAGAGGATCCCCGAGAGGGCCTCCAAAGGCCCGAAGAACTATGTTCTGTACGGCTCTTGACAAAGCTTCGCGTTCCCGCCATTTCTGGCCTCCAGCAGCCTAGCACGACCCAAGATGTCCCCAAGATGGTCCAAGAGGCCCGCAAGAGAGCTCCAAAGAGGCTACAAGGTGGCCGCAGAGGCCCCCAAGACGGCCCCAGAGGTTCCACTTTCGGCCCAAGAGGGTCCCGAATACCCTCAACAATTAGCCTGGCGAAGGACCCAACCATATGAAGTTGTGAACACCGCAGTTGTAGGTATCGTCTTCGGTGGTGCCCCCGTGCAAGGCCACGAAACGCTGTACTGGGTGGGGCGGACGCATGCGGGTTGCGCCACTGGGACCTTCGGTGGAGCTCCCTATGGGGCCACGGAACGCTGCACTAGGTGTGGCGGACGCACGCGGGCTGCGCAATTCTGCGCCACTGGGACCTCAGGTGGAGCTCCCTATGGGGCCACGAAGCGCTGTACTAGGTGTGGCGGACGCATGCGGGCTGCTCCACTGGGTCCTTCGGTGGAGCTCGTCATGGGGCCACGAAGCGCTGCACTGGATGTGGCGAACGCGTGCGGGCACCCATTGGGACCTTAGGTGGAACTCCCTATGGGGCCACGAAGCGCTGTACTAGGTGTGGCGGACGCATGCGGGCTGCTCCACTGGGTCCTTCGGTGGAGCTCGTCATGGGGCCACGAAGCGCTGCACTGGATGTGGCGAACGCGTGCGGGCACCCATTGGGACCTTAGGTGGAACTCCCTATGGGGCCACGAAGCGCTGTACTAGGTGTGGCGGACGCATGCGGGCTGCTCCACTGGGTCCTTCGGTGGAGCTCGTCATGGGGCCACGAAGCGCTGCACTGGATGTGGCGAACGCGTGCGGGCACCCATTGGGACCTTAGGTGGAACTCCCTATGGGGCCACGAAATGCTGTACTAGGTGTGGCGGACGCATGCGGGCACCCCCCCTGGAGCCTTCGGTGGAGCCCCCTGTGAGTCCACGGAGCGCTGTACTTGGTGTGGCGGACGCATGCGGGCACCCCCACTGGGGCCTTCGGTGGAGCTCCTATGGGGCCACGAAACGCTGCACTGGGCGAGGGGGAACGCATGCGGGCGGTAGTACTGGGGCCGTCGGAAGCGCTGTACTGGATGGGGGGACGCATGCGGGCGGCAACACTGGGGCCGTCGGTTGAGCGCCCTACGAGGCTAAGAAACGCTGCACTGGGTGTAACGGACGCATGCTGGCCCCCCCCACTGGGGCCTTCGGTGGGGCTCCATTTTCGGGACACGAAACGCTGCACTGGGTGGGGGGGACGCATGCGGGTACCCCCGCTGGGGCCTTCGGTGGAGCTCCCTATGAGGCCACGAAGCGCTGTACTGGGTGTGGCGGACGCATGCGGTGCGGGCACCCCCATTGGGGCCATCGGTGGAGCTCCCAACGGGGCCACGAAACGCTGCACTAGGTGGGGGGACCGCATGCGGGCACCCCCTCTGGGGCCTTCGGTGGAGCTCCTATGGGGCCACGAAGCGCTGCACTGGGTGGGGGGACCGCATGCGGGCACCTCCACTAGGGCCTTGGGTGGAGTTCCCTATGTGGCCACGAAGCGTGTGAGGGGTGTGCCAAAGTGAGGGGGGTGACGGGAGGAGGGAGGCGAGGGCTGAGGAGGATGAGGATGAGGATGAGGATGAGGATGAGGAGGAGGAGGAGGAGGAGAAGGAGGAGGAGGAGGAGGAGGAGGAGGAGGAGGAGGAGGAGGAGAGAAGAAGAGAGGAACGCGGGGACCGTCTCTTCAAAACGAAGACCAGAGACAGCCCCAAAGGGAGCCAAGAGGCTCCCCCCCAAACCCAAGAGGCTACCAAGAGTACCCCAGGAAGGCGCCAACTGAGGAGGGTGAGAAGGCCTCCCAGACCCTACGAGATTCCCCGTGGCGGCCCCACAAGGCTCCAAGATGCTGCTCAAATTGTACAGGATGGCCCGACAGATGGCTCCAGAAGCCCTCAGATGCCCACGAGAGGCCCCATGATGGCCCCAAAACTGCCAAAATATAGCCACAATAGGCCTCTTGGGCTGGGCCATCTTGGGGCAATCGCGTGGGCCTCTTGGGCCGTCTTCAGAAGCCTGAACAAGCGAGGACGCGAAAACCGTTGAAAACCTCACGGCATGTTGGGCCCTCTCGGAAGCCATCTTGCACCGTGCTGGGACGTCTTAGAGGCCATCATGGCTATGTCAAAATGGAAACGGATTTGTTTGACTTTGCCGCGGCCTGCGCTGGTTTCCCGGTGGCCGGCGGAGCGGGGCTGAACGCATCGGGAATGTGTTGAAAAGGCCACGCAGAATTGTTAGGCGGCGCGCCAGGAGGGAAATGAGAAGGGGCGGGCCTTCTCAGAAGGCTCGGAAATTCCCAGGCCTTCATGAGAAGTTCCCCGAGCCTTCCCCGAAGTCACGGATAACTTCTCAGAAGGCCAGTTTTTTTTTTTGCTTCCTCCAGCGTTCGTCCACGGGCACAGGGTGCACAACGGCTGGGGCCGCCTGTAGCAGAGGCTTACCAGATAAAGCCTGCAGGCGGGAGGTCTGGACCACAGGGTTACCAACTAGACCTCTGAAGTGGGAGGCCTGGGCCAACACGCTACCGGCCAGAGCCTCGAGGCGGGGGGACTTGCCTGATGCCAAATCCAGCCTCCCTGTGGACTCCAGAGGCACAAACAAATGTCGCGAACTCGGTGCGCGGACGAACCGCCGCTGCTGAGGAGAACGCTCTCCCAGCAAAACGTGGCTCTGCTCCCTCCCAAGCCGGCTCCCGTGAGCCCGTCTCCGGGAGGCTCGTGAGAAAAACTGGCGATGGTGACCCGAGGGCCTCCCCGCACGACGGGATCGCCTGCCCAAGCTGGAGACAATCACGGTCGACTCGCGGTCTGCACCTGGCGGAGGACAAAAGCGGGAGGAGCCAGAAACGAGACGGGGCGAAGACGCAAGCGACCCCAAAGCCCACTAGGACCACGGCTCGAGATCAATACTGAACGGCCGAACGTAAAGGATGAGCGCGACGACGGCGGTCCTGAACCTGGCAAGCCGAGCGCGGAGGCCTCCCGGGGGAGGTGTCGGGCGATCCGCGCCGGGATCCAAGCCGTGCCATCGTCGCAAGGCTCGGGGGAGGAGGACAGGAAGGACACGCAGGAGAGAACGCGCGCCCCCCTACGCCGAGGGAGCGCCCGCCGCCACATGGCTCTGGATGGTCTGGGCGGCCTGCCGGTTGGCGAGCGCCCCCGGCTCGAGCTCCGATGCGACGCAGCCCCGCCGCCCTGTCCAACAGGCAGCTGTAGATCTTCTGCGCGCCCAGGCCGTGCGCGCGGAGAGCGCGTGGACCTCCGCCGGCGCGTTGATGCACGCGGCGCTCCTGGCCACCGTGGCCTCCGAGGGGGCGGGGGTCGGGCGTCGGGCTGGGCGGGGGGCTGGGCGTCGGGTTGAGCGCGGGTCTGGGCGCGTGGTTCGGCGCGGGGCAGGGCGTCGGACTGGGCGTCGGGATGGGCGTCGGGGAGGGCGTCGGGGAGGGCGTCGGGTAGGGCGTCGGACTGGGTGTCGGATGGGGCGTCGGACTGGACGGGTAAAGGCATGGTGCCGACGGCCAGGATGGCGTCGTTCCACCACGCCTCCAGCAAGTCCGCAGCGCTCGGGCCCGGCGAGCTGAAGTCCGACTCCAGCGTGGACGAGTCCTCTGGGATGTGGAGGCCCGCCTCCGCCATATTGAAGAACTGCGCGCCCTTGAAGGCCGCCTCCGCCATGTCAAAATGCTGCCCGTCGGCTCGAGGAGAGGAGATACTTGTACAGGTACTCGCGGGGGCAGCGGGCGCGCACGGGAGCGCTTCCCAACGCTCGTGCAGGAGCGCCTTTTATGCGCTCCAGTCCGGCTCCGAAGTCAGATCCATCGACGGCGAGCGCGGCGCCATCTCCTCGGGGATGCGAGCCATCAGCGGCGAGTGTGGCGCCGTCTCCTCGGTGCACAGCTGGATCTGCGAGGCTCCCTGTGTAAGTCGGGTCCGGCCGCGTCGTCAGGGCCTCCGGCGTGAGCGACTCGCCGGTCCGCAGCGGGGCCGCGAGGTCGTCGGCGTAGCTGTGAATCCGTCCGAATGTCCGCGCCCGCCGCGAAGAGAATCGGGGAGAGCTGGGGACCTGCGATGCCTCGAAGGCCACTGGAGGTGACATCGTCGACTGCTGCTGTCTGGACGGCGACTGCTGCTCTCTCGGCGGGGCTTCCGACAAGATCCCCGCCGGCATGCCCGTCCTCGGACGTCGTCGGCACCTTCACTTTCGCCGGCCACTTCGCTCCGATAGCCTGCGCCACCTTGCGCCGCGTCAGCTCCTTGATCGCGTCGGTCTTGGCAAGCAGCTCGGTGGGGGCAAGGAGCTCGAGTGGCGGCGGCTGCGCGAATGGTGGCGACTGCGGCAATGGCTGCGCCGACCGCGAGCGCGCCAAGCGCAGCCGGGCACGCGCCTGCTCCTCCGCCAGCCGCAGCGCCGTCACCGCGATCTGTCGACGGAGTGGTTGGGTCTGCCCCCTCGCGATAGTCAGCGGCTCCACCTCGACTGTCGTCCGCATCGCCTTCTCCGGCGTCCTGGACCTCTGCACCCTGCGTGCCGGTGGTGTCCTGGGCGTCAGCGCAGCCATCTGCCTCCTGGGCGCCAGCACCGCCCTTGCCCTGGGAGACCAGGTCGAGCATGGTGGAGCTCGCACGCTCCGCCACGTCCTCGTCGTGGCTCGTCAGCTGCGGAGGCGGAGAATGTGCCACGCTCGGGCGCACACCGCTCCGCTCGGGCGAAGCGTACGGCCTCGGTGGTGAGGCTCCGGGCGGCGCCAGCCCGAGCGCGGTCAGCGCCCTGCTCTCGGCGTCTGCCGCCACGGCCGCGAGCAGACCGTCGCCCTATGCTGCCATGCCGCGCCGATCCGAGTTCCCCGTGCGAGCGGTGCCCTCGCGCACTGGCCAAGCACTCCACCCTGGCGCGCTGGGATGCGGAGCGTGCGTGGGTAGAGGTTCGAGCCCCAAGCTCCTGGACCTGACCAGGAGCGAAACGCCTTGAGCCAGAAGGCCACAGGGCTTCTGAGAAGCCCCGCCGCCTTCCGAGAAGGCCTTCTCCTTCTCCTCCTCCTCCTCCTCCTCCTCCTCCTCCTCCTCCTCCTCCTCGTCCTCCTCCTCCTCCTCTTCCTCTTCCTCTTCCTCTTCCTCTTCCTCCTGCGCCTCCTCCTCCTCCTCCTCTTCCTCCTTCTCCTTCCCCTTCTCACTTCCCACTTCTCCCCCTCGCTCGCCGCCGAGTTGTCAAAATCTGGCACGCCCGCACCCTCTCCACAAGCGGCGGGGGCGGTGGATCTGAGGGTCGGCCCATCCCGCCATGGTGCTCGGGTCGTGGGCCGGGGGCCTCTTGGAGGCTTCTTGAAGCAGGGGGGGGGCATCGGGGGCACCTCAGGGCTTCTCTGGGGCCTCCTGTGGGAGTCTTGGAGGTCTCTTCGGGATACCCTTCGGCACACACGCTAGAGCCCCACGACGGCCCAACAATGCTCCAAGACGGGCCAGAAAGGCCCTCAAGACCGCGGATGAACGTCCCAAGACGGCTCTTGAGAGCCCCCACAGGTCCCCCAAAACGCTCCTGATGACGACTAAAACGGTTTCCGAAGGCGCTGGACGGCATACGACGGCCTAAAAGATCACCCGGCCGACTCAAACGTAGGACCCATTGGGGGCCCATCCAGAAGGAAAGCACCTCTGGGGCGCGCCGAAGAGCCCAAGGGATCAGGCTCCCGGGGAAGCACGGAACAGATCCCGGCGAGGGGCTCGAGCACGGGGGCTGCCCCTGCCTTAGACTCCAGAAGAGGAAGGAACTTTCAGCCGCGGGGGTGCTCGCGCGTAGGGTTCTCTCCCCCCCCTTGGCGCAAGCAGAGGAGGAAAACCACAAGAGCCCAGATTTGCAAATGCAACGCAGCAACACTCTAGAAGTAGTGGTACTAAAGCTGTGCTAATGTTCCGAGGTTGTGCTCGAAGCGAAAGCGTTCAGAGGTTCCAGTGGCAAGGCGCGCGCCCGGAAGAGAGAAACAAATCCACGCGCAGCCAAGGGTCCAAAGTTGACCAGTCGCCGCGAAGAAGGCCCGGTGGTTGGGGGGTCCAGGCATCAGTCGGAATGGTGATCCTAAAAGCGCTCTGGAGTAAGAACGCCGCAGATGGTCCCTCTTCAGCGTTCCCCCAATGGTGCTCCCAAACGCTGGGGATCACCCAGACCCATGGCCGCATCTTCGCTCGACACTTCACCGCACCTGTGTCCAGGAGGGCAAGCGGTGGCGGCGACTCGCAGGAGGCGTCTTCGGCAATGCTGGAGAGAGAGGTGGCGAGGAAGAGGAGGAGAACGAGCAAGGGGGAGAACGGTGGGAGGATGCCTCCTCCATTCCCTCCAGCCCCCTCCGCCTCCCCCTGCCTCCCCCCTATCCCCCTCCCCCCCAATTGACGAAGGCGGAGGAGCGGACGGCGACCACCGTCTCGCGCACACCTCGACGAAGGACATAGGACAGGGAAGGTCCGCCCGAGGCCCCTGCTCTGCTAGATGGATCCCTCCCCCTCCCTCTGCTGCTCCAGTGTCTTCTCGGCTGGCTGGTTCGGGATCCCAATCCTCCCTCCTCGCTCCTCCCTCCTCGTCCTCGTCCTCCTTGTCCTCCTTGCCCTCGTCATCGTCCTCCTCCTCCTCCTCCTCCTCCTCCTCAGCGTCCTTGTCCTCGTCCTCGTCCTCGGCTGGCTGGTTCGGGATCCCAAGGGGAGTGGGGCACGGACCCCCCCCGAGCCCGCACAGCCGAGAGGAACCCAAGTGGCACAAGCACTGCGGCACATCAGGCACTGTTCCAGGTTACAGACCCTGTGGCAAGGGTCCGCCTGTCTGGCGGGCCTCGGAAGGCTCGTGCACCGGCTGCTGCTGTTGCTGCTGCTGCTGCCCCTCCTTCACTCTCCCTCCTCTTCCGCCTCCTCCCTCTTCCCTCCTCCTTCACGGACGAACAACACACACACACATCCATACCCATAAGGGGGTTGGAAGGAAGAAGACTGGCTCACGGGTGCGGGCTGTCGGACCCAAAGCGAATCTCCCGTTCGAGCGTGGACCCCCTCCGACAACATGCACCCATAGCCCTCTCCGCCCCACCAGTGGGTATGGGTGTGCGTTGTTCCTCCTCCTCACTCCTCATCCTCCCTCCCTCCTCCCTCCTCGTCCTCGTCCTCCTCGTCCTCCTCGTCCTCCTCGTCCTCCTTGCCCTCGTCATCGTCCTCCTCCTCAACGTTCTTGTCTTCGTCCTCGTCCGCGTCCTCGTCACGTCCTCGCCCTCGTCCTCCTCCTCCCTCCTCCCTCCTCCCTCCTCCGCCTCCTCCTCCTCCTCCTCCTCCGCCTCCTCCTCCTCCTCCTCCTCCCCCTCCGCCTCCCTCCTCCCTCCTCCTCCTCCTCCTCCCTCCTCCCTCCTCCCTCCACCCCCCCCCCTCCTCCCTCTCCCTCCTCCCTCCTCCTCCCTCCTCCCTCCCTCCCCCCTCCTCTCCCCCTCCTCCTCCTCCCTCCCTCCCTCCCTTCCCCCCTCTCCCTCCCTCCCTCCCTCCCTCCTCCCTCCTCCCTCCTCCTTCCTCCCTTCCTCCCCTCCTCTCTCTCCCTCCTCCTCCCTCCTCCCTTTCCTCCCCCTCCCCTCCACCCTCACCCGCCCTCACCTCCTCCTCCTCCTCCTCCTCCCTAATCCTCCTCCTTCCTCCTCCTCCTAATCCTCCTCCTCCTCCTCCTCTCCTTCCTCCTCCTTCCTCCTCGTCCTCCTCCTCCTCCTCCTCCTCCTCCTCACCTCCTCCTCCTCCCTCCTTCCTCTTGCCTCCTCCTCTTGCCTCCTCCTCCTCCTCCTCCTCCTCCTCCTCCTCCTCCTCCTCCTCCTCCTCCTCCTCCTCTCCTCCCTTCCCCCTCCTCCCTCCTCCCTCCTCCTCCCTCCTCCCTCCTCCACCTCCCTCCCTCTTCGTCCTCGTCCTCGGTTCGTCATCGTCCGCGTCCTCGTCGTCCTCGTTCTAGTCCTCGTCCTCCTCCTTCTCCTCCTCCTCTTCTTCGTCCTCCCGCCTCCTCCTCCCTCACTCCTCGTCCTCGTCCTCGTCCTCCTCCTCCTCCTCCTCCTCCTCGTCCTCCTCCTTGGCCTCGTCCTCGTCACCGGCCGAGGCGGGGGAACCGTGCCTCTGCCGCCCGAGGCGGGGGGGGGCGCCGCACCAACGCCGCCCCCCTCTCCGCAACTAAGGCCCTCCACGCCCAAGAGAAGGGGGGCACCCGCCGCCCCTTCGGAGCCCGAGCGGGCGCAGGCGCGGGGAAGGGAGCAGGGGGGAGTTGGGAGAGGAGGAGGAGGAGGAGGAGGAGGAGGAGGAGGAGGAGGAGGAGGAGGAGGAGGAGGAGAAGGTGGAGAGAAGGACGTTAATGAAAGAGCGCAGTGGATCACCTTGGAATTTAAAAGGGGGGGGTTGCTCCAGGAAACCCACCCACCCCTTCCCCCTTCAGGGGGGGGGGGTCCGAGAACCCCCCCCCCCTACCTCCCTTTAACGGGGGGGTCGAACCCCTCCCCCCCCCCCTTTGAAAGGGGAGGGGGGTTCGGAACCCTCCCCCGCCCCTGAAGGGGGGGGGGGTTCGGAACCCCCCCACCCCCCCCCCCCATTTCCACAGGGGTCCGGGGCGCGAGCGAGGCGGGCGAGTTTGGGTTTAGGGTTTAGGGTTTAGGGTTTAGGGTCTAACAGGGCAAGGCCACGATTACAACCTTCAACGGAACCCACCTGCGGTCGCCATCATTCCCCCCCGCATCTCCACCCCCCCATAAAGATCATATCTTCTACCATGTCATAGCGTGGCTGTAGCATAGCATAGCATGGTATAGCATTGCTTAGCAAAGCATGGCAAAGCATAGGTTCCCCCAAAACACATATAGTATAACATGGCATTGCATAGCATAGCACTGCTTAGCAAAGCATGGCAAAGCATAGGTTCCCCCAAAACACATATAGTGTAGCATGGCATTGCATAGCATAGCACAACATAGCAGAGCATGGCAAAGCATGGGTTCCCCACAAAGTGGGAACCCTATAGTGTAGCATAGCAGACCTAGCAAAGCGAAGCATAACACAGCATGGCCCAGCATCGTTTCACCACAAAGTCGGGAACCTATGGTGTAGCATATAGTGGCATAGCATGGATTAGAATAGCATGGCACAGCAGGGAATAGGCTGCCCGTGTAGCATAGCGTAGCATAGCATAGGGGTGCCCAGACGATGGATGATCAGGATATAATGTTTTTTTGCAGTAGATCGTGAGGGCTTGCATGGCGGGTCGGGCAGGATATAGCGTTTTTTTCCATAGGGAAAGTGCACATCGGAGACGATGGATGATCAGGATATAATGTTTTTTTGCAGTAGATCGTGAGGGTTTGCATGGCGGGTCGGGCAGGATATATAGTTTCTTGCATAGGGAAAGTGGACCGCAGAAAGTTGGATTACCATCGGGCCGCGTGGGGTAGCAGGATTTAGGGTTTAATAATAATAGAGAGTAGAGATTTAGGGTTTAGGGTGTAGGGTTTAGGGTTTCTGCGCAGAACCATCCTATCCCCCCCTCCTCAGGAGGTAGGGGGGGATGGATGGATGC